CATCTGCCTGACAGCACCCAGGCAATCTGTGCTCCCCCTCAACAGCACCAGCCTGCAGAGCGATGGGAGTTTTTCCCAGCGAGGAGCAGGACGTGCTGAGCCCACCCGGTTGCAGCTGGGACCCCCTACACATGGGCCAGCCCCAGCAGGAGGGAGATGTTCTGCCGGGGAACAGCCTCCCCACGCTGGTCACGGCCAACCCGGCCTGCCCCGGGGAGGGAACTTACTGGGGTGCTGCTGGCCTTCCCGGTCAAGATACCTCTCGCCTTCTTTTTGGTCATGTTGAAGTTTTTCAGGTAGGCGTTGTAGATGTGCTTGGAGAAAGCTTTCAGGTCAGCCACCTGCGGGTTCTGGCAGCTGATCTCGCTCGCCGTCAGCCCCGCCACCAGCTTCATCTTCTCCGCCCCGCCACCAGCTTCCTCTTCTCCGCTTCCGGCATGCGGCCGAAGCGGATTGCTGGGAGGGGGTAAAACCAGTGGGTTAGGACAGCGAGGATGACCGCAGGAGACATGTTCAGGGAGGCAGCAGCAGATAGAGGTCTGCTAGTGAAGACCTGCAGCTACGTGACGTGGTGCTTTTCTAAGGCTGCAGCAACTCTGGCACCGACACGTCCAGGAACCAGGAGGAACCGTGATTGCCACCTTCACCGACACAGCCCTGCACTGAGCCCCATCACCACTCCCCTGGGCTCTCGCACAAACCCTTCCCTCAGAAACACCCTGACACGGCCAGGAACAAGATGGTTACACCTGAAGTTTAAAAATCCCAGTACAGAAGAGCAATCGGCGTGTCCAGTTCCCTTTGGGACAGCCGTGTGCTGAGGGCTGGCCTGCACGGTGGGAATGAACCGTACAGAAGAACAGGATGAAGAGTCAAAACCTCAACGCACTGGTTTGAAAGATGATCCCCTAGTAAGAAGAGAGCCAACCCCGCGGCACCCATCTGGCCGCGCCTGCGGTGACACCCACCGTTGTGTGACATGCCCAGCGAGAGGCATTTCTGGAAGCGGCAGTACTGGCACTTGTTCCGGTTCTTCTTCTGAATCTTGCAGCTCCTCTCGCACTTCTCGTACTCCAGCTTCATGCGGATCGTCCGGCGGAAGAAACCCTACGGGTGGGCAGCACGGAGCGGGACGTGGAGCAGGGGGACAAGGCAGTGTTAGCACCTGTGGTTTGGGACCAGGCTCACTTATTGTTCCCAGAAGCCTTGTGCAGGTTGAGCCCTGGGGTTTTTTTGACACAAGCAGGATCTCAAGGAGAGGTCGTGGGGCAGGAGAAGGGGGTTGCAGAGGAACCATTGGAGGGCAGCTCATGGACACCGGGTGTGTGACGCTGCAGGGAGGGAGGGAGGAACGAGCTGCGTGCTGGCCCCAGACTGCAGCAATGTCTGGCACGACCTGGGCCACTAACACAGCCCTGCTGGCATCTGCTGCGGGGGAAAGAATTTCAGAGGCACATCCAAGCTGCAGCCAGTGATCCCAGGGGAATAAACACACAGCTCATTGCTCATCTGCAGCGCAGAAAGCATCTTTATAAGCAAAGCCGGGGTCCCCAGGGGCATAGATGGATTTGCCTTACAAAGTAAAGCATGACGGTGCAAGATTTGGACTGTGCGCATCTCAGCTGCCTCCCCCAGGACAGCATTTGCACGCCTGCTTGTAATGTCCACACTCTCTGAGCAGGTTGCAAATGAGTTTTTTTACAATCGCTCAATCCTGCATCCCTGTTTTGTTGGGAATCTGCTCGTCTGAAGAGATGGCGTGGTCCCCGGGCTCTAATCTCTGCTCGGCCTTGCTGAACTCAGCCCTCCCCAGGGCATACGTACCTTGCAGCCCTCGCAGGCGTGCACGCCGTAGTGAAATCCCGAGGCTTTGTCTCCGCAGACCCTGCACTCCACGTTGAGCGCTCCCAAGGCCGCCTCCTCGCAGCCCATCTGCAGCTGGTCCGACAGGGAGGGAGAGGAGCTCTGCGAAAGGTCTGTGAATGCACAAAGGGATATATCCCCCCGTGTAGCAGCCACACGCCCGGGGTCACGTCTAACTCCTCTGGCCACGGAGGGATTTCCAGCGCCGTCCCAGCCTGCCGCTGGCGGTGCATGTGGGCAGTCTGACCTCCGAGCTCAGGCACTGGCTGCAGGGAGGTGCCACGCACAGAGCCAAGAGTGCCCCCGGTGCGCCCAGCAGCTGAGAGACTCCAAATGGATGCCAATTTCTTCCCTCTGGCATTCATGTCTAGGCAATGAAACCCAACCAGCAAATTTTATAATCCCCACTTGGCAGGCAGCTGGCATGGGGCTGCCTAGCTGGAACACCCAGGGCTCTGGAGGAGCTTCTTCAGCAGCAACAAACCTCCTTCCCCAGCTCCTACAATCAGTTTGCACTGAGAACTTGAAGAAGAAGCGGCCAGGGGAGCACTCTCAGGGAGTCCCCTCACTCTGGGGCATGACGTTACCTGCCTGCCCTTTCAATTTCCATCTCCCAAGCCGCTGCTGTGCAGTGACCGCAGAGGAAGAAATAAGCCTCTCCCTAACTTGGCCCTCGATGCATTATTTGACAAAGGGAAGAGATTAAAACAAGCCAAACTCCACTCATGGGGCCCTTACAGCTCATCATGCTGCCCGGAGCACGTGGATGCCTGGATGTTCCAGGGACAGCCGAGCTCCCGCGGCTGCGCTCACCTGTGTAGCTGCTCGAAGGCAGCGAGCTGTCTGGTCCTCCACTTGGATCCGAGGCTCCGCTTGCCACCATCACTGCCTCTTCCTCCTCCTCTTCCTTGACCTCAGGTACTTCCTCCTGTAGTTGTTCCATAATTGATCACCCCTCAGTGCCAAGACTGCAGTCCCTGTCATAGCTCTGGCATCATCCGCGTCTATCCGAGATGGACCCTACCAGGCTGTTCCTGCTAGCCTGCGGGACGGAAGGAGAAACACGGGGTGTCAGCTCGGGACACCCAGCCAGAGCACCCCAGCACATGCTGGTCCCACCCTGCTTTCTCTCCTTATCCAGGGAGACAAGACCGACCCGAGCCCTTTACAGGTCATTTTGAGCTCCAGTACGAACACTCTGCAGGACTCAAAGAAGCAAAAGTTCACCGTAATTGTATTTAAAGCCCAGCAGACAAAGCTTAGACCGTAAACCAG